AAATAAATATTTATATAATGCTCTATGAAAATATCATTTTCCAATACATATATATTGTTTAACAGACAATGTTTAACAAACCGTGTCAAACATGTGAAAATGTCTAGAAAACTCTTAACTAAACACTAAAGCTAAAGATTTTATATCCAAATAATGTTGAACAAAAAAACATTTAAAGAAATGAATCATAGGGAGGTTCAACACACACACATATACACAGATCTCCACACTAGTAAGATTTTGTCCGCTTTGGGCCAAGCCCTCACAGATTTGCTTTTGGTACCACTCCAAAAGGTCTCTTATCAATGGAGGTATCTTATCTGTATATAAACTCATGTTCATCTCTTATTTTATCTGATGTGGGACTTTGTTTGTACCCAACAAGTTAAACATGCAAACGCTATCAAATAAGATGAGAACATATGATATCACAAGAGTGTTTAACGTATACAAAAAAAAAGCATCAAATGTTATATAACTCCTAACAATGTGTTTAATCGCCATATCATTTGGTAAAAAGGATAAATCATCTTAACACAAGTTTCGTTAAACATAATTAAGCAATGTATTGAATTAATTTACTTTTTGTGTTTCACATTTTGGTTTGAAGCCAAAACCAAATGTATTTTAAAAAAATGTCCAAATTTTATATTGGACAATGCATGGTTCGACACAAATTTTGAACTTTCCCCCTTACTTTTATGCACTTATTTATGCCACTTACATCTAAGTTCAACGTAAATATGAAGTTTTTACGTCAGAGTTTTTGTCTGATGTAAATTTACATCACATGCATCCACATTAGAGTATTACCTGACATAAAAAGCTAAAAAAAATCCAACATAAGCGTATTATATATATGATAATGTGAAGACATATCGATCATAAAATTTTACCACTTATTCTTCATGTCGTTAAGATATACTAAATAAGAAATCCTTATGTAAATGATGTATTAACTTTCTTGAATTGTTTGTTTAAAACTATAGGATTGAATACCTAAAAGGTTGTGGTGAATGTTGTATGCTTAAACACTAGTGCAAAAACAGCGTATAACGTCACGCGTTCAACGTCGAATCACTCAATAACTAACTTTAAAAATGATCGGTGGCATTTTTGTAAATAAATGCAATTATTAAATGTCGTTTAGAATTATAATTCGACGTAAAAGGATATAAAACGTCAAATGCATCAGACGTCAAAAGGTTAATGAATTCAATAAAAAATTGAGCGGGAGATTGAAAATTCATTCACTTTATCTTAGAGCGCGAGACCCTCTTCTCTGCTCAAACTTTTCTCGAACGAAGTTTGACGACCATCACATGTAATCTTTCTTTCATTTGATACAAATGCATATTAATTTACTACTATAGGTATGATTTTCATTTGTTTTGACCGATTATTTTCGTGTTCTTGTCCTTCATAGGTACATTCTGCTTTCTCTCTCACTTGTAACAACACTTTATTCCGATGCACCAAGGTTAGTTTTTGTTTTGAAGAACTTATTTGTTGAACTTGTTTGTTGTTATATTTTGTTGAACTTGTTTGTTGTTATATTTTGTTGAACTTGTTTGTTGGTGTTGTTTGGTTGAACTTGTTTGATTGAACTTGTTTATTGTTTGTCATTGTTGTTTGTTGTTGATACTATATTACACGTTCATAGTTCATGCTTTACAAAATTCCAAAAACTGAAATTTGTTGTTTTTCCTGCTTTTCAGGTCTTGTAAAGGATCACAATTAATTAAAAAAATAAAAATATTGATTAACGTCGTTTACTGATACAATTTAACGTCTTTCGATATGACGTCATTCTCGAATTCGACATGAAATGCCCAAAATATTCGACGTTGTACACTTTTTTTGTACTAGTGAAAGTTAATATTAATTCTAAAAATAATGAAAAAGAGGGAGTTGGATGGTGATCCTAGATCAAACATCGATGTGATGTGAGACAATGTCTCATGGGCACTATAGGCTTAGGTGAACTTAGATTGAACATCAAGTTGATGTGAGATATCATTGTTAGGACACAATAGGCTCGAGTGTGTGGCTATAAAGGAATGGATATGTCATTTTTATTATGATTGAATTTGATGTTGGTCCTAGGTATCAATCAAGTTAATAACTATTTGAAGGCTCATGCATTAAAAGGATGATAAAAGCTTATGATTGATTTATGATTACTAAGTGTGAAATTTGGTTTAAATAGTAATGTACTAAAGGGTTTTTCATCGACTATAAGTCTTAAAAGTGCATGATGTATTGAGTTGTGAGAGCCTCATAGGTAGAGGAACACATGTAGTTGGCTTAATGACCCCAACAAACGTGGAGCATCGCCATGATTTGTTAAGGTCCAACCTACATACTAGGACATGACTAGTTCTTTGGTAACTTATTAATAAATATATCAAATCGTACAAGTACTAAGATGGAAATTTCAAGTATCATTTCTTAAGAGAATTGTATGTTTAGTTTGTGTGAATTCTTATTAGTTTGGACTACAAACTCACATATATTGATATACAAAATTTGAAGAGGTGTTATAATTCTAAATTTATATGATTCAAAGCTACCAAATTAAATTTATAGTTGTACTATATGAAATATACCGATCGGAGTTAATGGTCATTCATGGGCAATTATCAAGTATTAATAGGTCAGATTACCTTACGATTTACAAATATACGATATTAATTATTAATTATTGGGTTTGATTCCCTAAAAATATACTGATAACTAATCAATGGACTTGACTGCCACAAACTCTATAAATAATACAACTGATGTCAGGTACAATCATCTTTTTCTATCCTAATAAAATGTAGACCTCTTTATGAAACATATCTGACTTGAGCGTCGGAGAGTCTTCTGCAGGTCAACTATCTCTCGGAGTGGATTGCGTTCTCGGAAAAGATTGGACGATTGAAAGGGAACAAAACAAAGAAGAACGACCTACCTTTGGATTAATTCCACGAAACAATAGTATTTGATCAAGATACATATGTATTGAGATTAGATTTCATGAACTCAACTCAATGCAATTATTCTAAGTTGATGCACAAATATTAATCCTTTAGTTTTATTTACACAAGATTTGCATGAATGTTAAGTGTTTAGAATGATCACATATCTAAGTTGTGGAATCTTGAAATCAAGTTCGAAAAACATTTTTCATTGTTTAGAAACAACAAAAATCATAAATAATCAACCATGCAACACGAAGCAAGAAAAATACAAGTCATATAACGTGTTTCTATTGCCAAGGAAAATCACATAAAAATGGGATTCATTACATTCACCCAGAATGAAAAAGGGAGTTAATTACTCCTCCATATTTTGAACACAAAAAGTGACAAAGTGAACAAAAAAATTGAAGTGAGAAGTCATCTTGGATTTCCTTCTGTAGCAGCGACTCTATAAAATGGTCTCTAGTTTTGTCTCTAAAAAAACTACTCTCCACGTTTAGATTTCATCAACTAAAAAAACGACTTTCATACCAAATAAGTATAATCACTCACCAAACGAGAAAGTCTTTCAAATAATGTTAAATTTCTATCGTGTGTTTCTCACCTTACGAGCATAAATATCTTTTTCATAAAATGTGAAAATTCTAAAATAATTTTCTTTCTTTGATGTCAAACTTTTACTTTTTTTAAAAAAAATTATAAAAATGATAATTACTTTTATTTTAAAAAAATTTGTTAAATCATAAATTTAGTATAAAATAAAAAAGTTTCATAAAATAAAAACCCGATTTAAGGCTTAATACCCCTCATGGTCCTTATTTTCGTCAAGTGTATTCGATTTGGTCCTAGTTTTTTTTTCTATTCAATGTTGTCCAAAAGAATGTAATTTTTGTTCAATTTAGTTCTTTTTGCAGACGACGTTTAAATCGTTAACGGCCAACTGTCCAGTCGTGCAATAGTGACACATCACCCTTGACACATCACCATCATCTCCTACCTCCAGAAACCCTAATTTCCCCCTAACCCTAACCGCTGCCGCCACGCTCCCGGTCAGCCACCATCTTCGCACCTCCATCATCAAACATTTCGAAACCCTAACCAGATGGTCGCGCCGCCACCACCGATGTTCATCTTCTCCATCCAGCAACCACCCAGAAACACCACCATGACCATCTTCCCCTTCCTCCACCGTGAATCGCCATCAACATCTTCTTGCGACAACCATGACGGCCGCAACGAGACAGCGAGCCATGCGCGAGCTCATCTTCTCCGTCAAGTCTTCAACTTGCAAAGGGAAATACAAAGAACGAAAAAGCCAATTGGAGCAGAATCGTTGCCGCAAAAGCACCATTCTCCATCAATCTTCATCTTCTCCAGCCATCGCGAAGCTGCTCTTCAAACCTGCAAGTGACCAAATCGCAGACAACCAACCACGAGCCAGATTCACATCGTGACGCTCCTGCATTTCGAAACTCATTCAATTTTCCTTTCACGGCGGCGTAGGCGTAAGGAAGTCTTTCCCCTTACATTCAGAAATCTTAATTTTTTGGGTGGGGAAGGGACTGCCATGTGGTAGTCTCTCATTGGTTGCGTCATGTTTCAGTCAAGGAAGATTAGAACTGATATGCACAGCTGGACAATTAATCGTTAACGATTTAAACGTCATCTACAAAAAGGACTAAATTAAACAAAAATTATATTCTTTAGGACAACATTAAACAGAAAAAAAAATTAAAACCAAATCGAACACATAATGAAAATCAAGACATCAGGGATATTGAGCCAAGATTTAATTAGCGTGATAAAACAATTTATTATTATATTTTTAATAGTCAATAGTCACTGAGATGATTTATGTTATATAAGTACTTAAAATAATTAATTATTTCATGTTGAAATTTAGAAATACAGTTTCCTTAAAGGTTAGAGAGATTTTATTTTTGTTACAATGGTCCGAGTTTAATATAGTTGAGACATAATGAGATATGGTGGTGGTCTTTAAAAAAAATCTATCTTTTTTAATGAGATAATAATGGTAATTAGGCTAAGAGAGACGGATAATTGTTTCATTGTGATTCATCGCAAGAACGGCTCTGATAGCGCTTTGGTGCAGCGAGCGGCGTAGGAATATCACAGACAACCCACTCGTCCTCTACCTCATCACACCGTTCATCACCACCACAAACACAACAACATACGTACCATACCAGGTGAAGGTGAGGTTGTTCTTCTTCTACCTTCTTCTTCCTCACTAACCATTTTCTCTTTCCTCTAAACCCCATTTTTCTCTCTCACTAGATCCAACCGCAAGCACCGCACCGCACCGAACCGACGACAACACAATGATCCAACCCTAATTCTACCGTCTCTTACCTCCAAGGTCTTCTATCTTCTTTTCAATTCTTCTTCTTCTCTCTTCTTCCATTTTCCCTCTTTTCTTCCTTCAATCTGTTTTTTTTTCCTTTTCTATTACATGTATCAAAAAAATCATCCGTCTCTTTTTCGTAAACTTGTAGTTGCTTAACCCTAATCTGCAACACTTAAACGCAGCTTCCTTTCATTTCGAGTTTAATTCGAGTAATTCACCATGGGTTCGCCTGACAATCATGGTCAACCCTCTGTATTGGATCTGGGGTCCTTCGTGTTTCCGATGAAGCTAGGGTTTGCACCCAATTTCGTCTCAAGATTGGGGATTTTCTCTTCTGATTGTTAATTTCGACACCCTACTTCCCCTCTTACCTGGGTTTCTTGGATTTGTGTTGGACTCGAGGTTTTTGGTGGAAAAGTTTTCGCTTTCCTTTTCTTTGTTGTTTCCCTTTCCCTGCAATTGAAATTTGCAATAAAGGAAGCATCTTTCCAGCTTGGAGATTGAAACTGCGATGGAGGAAGAGTCCTCCGATGCAATGAACCTTGATTTGAATCTGGGTCCGGGCCCAGAGCCTGAAACTGGCCCAATAAGCAATGAAGCTGTGAACTTGGATGAGTGGATAGGAGAGCCTCTTCAGAGAATCAGCGAAGCTGTGAGGTTTAGGGCACGGCAACGGTGGCGATGGCGGCATGTTCCGCTACCGCATCCTGAACTTCATGTCCACATCCCACCTGAAGCTGCGCGGCATTTTCATATACCTCCTGAGGCTCACAATATCTCCATGGAATTGAACCAGTTTCTGGTCAATTCTGGAAATGGAACTGCCTTACAGGCTGGAGAAGGCAGTGTGGCGGCCGAAGAGAGAGTGGAGGAGGTGCCGAAGGCGTGTGAGAATGTGAATGGTGTTGCAGAGGACGAGGCCTTGCAGAAGAAGGATGATGTTGAAAAGGGTAGTGGCACTGATGGGGACTTTTTTGATTGTAACATCTGTTTGGACCTCTCTAGGGATCCTGTTGTGACTTGTTGTGGCCATTTGTTTTGTTGGCCTTGCCTGTATAGGTGGTTGCATCTGCATTCAGATGCGAGAGAGTGTCCAGTTTGCAAGGGAGAGGTCACTCTCAAAGGTGTTACCCCAATATATGGCCGAGGGAACACTGTCCGAGGTCACGAGGAGGATTCTGCTCTTAAGATCCCTCCCAGGCCCCAAGCAAGGAGGGTTGAGAGTCTGAGACAAACCATTCAGAGAAATGCATTTACAGTCCCTGTGGAAGAGATGATTCGGCGTATCGGGAGTAGAATTGATCATAGTCGTGATTTTGTTCAGCCACATGAAGGGGAGGGTGCCCGTGAAACTGCAGAGAGAACTACTTCCTTGCTAAGTAGGTTCTTGACTGCTCGAGGGATTCGGAGAGAGCAGAATTTAGGACCACTCCCTGAGGATGTGATGGCTTTTGCTCAGAATAATGCTACTAATAATACTGCTGAGGCAGGGGATAACCGAAATAGGGTGCAACAATCTCATATGCTTCGAAGAACACAATCACATAGAGCAACGCTTTCTACTATTTCAGCATTCACTTCTGCTGAAAGGTTACTGGAGGCTTATTTCCGTAGCAGTGCAATTGTTAGGAACCAAGAACAACCTTCACCTCCAGTTGATGACAGGGATTCTTTTTCAAGCATTGGCGCTGTTATAAATTCAGAGAGTCAAGTGGACACTGCTGTGGAGATTGATTCCATGGTATCCTTGTCAACATCCTCTTCTAGGAGGAGGAATGATGCTTCAAGATTGTCTGATGTGGATAGTGGAGATTCTCGTGCTCCGAGACGCAGACGTTTGAACTGATAAAAAAACTCTTTATAGATCTTCAACTTATTACTATTCTATCATGTACCTCATATGATAATAATTTTCCAACACCTATGTAAGTGCTTCTTGCTTTCGCGTTGCCTTATATTTATTTCACCGTTTACAATTTTGGTAGATTCACGATGATTTCAGATTATTGTCATTCGCGGTTTAAGAATTTCTTTTAAGCATTGAGCCGATTCTAGAGTCTCCTGCATCCAGGAACTAAATTTTCCTATAGAATAAGGTACCAAGCTACTCCATTCGGAAGAGTTTACATGGAGTTTATTTTACTCATGAAGAGGGCTATATATGATTTGTTAAAAAGTTTTTTTTCTCAAAAATCTTATTTCAACAAGATTCATAATGAAGTTCATCAAAACAAAGTCCTTTGTTTTTTATTTTGTTCAAGTAGGAGTTCAACATGCAATGAACTTATCAAATAAGTAGTTTAGCCAACCTATTATTTAGCCAAAATGCATTGCTTTATCTGAATTATCCCTTGATGGGATGGTCACCACTTGTATCAAAGAAGCAGTTTATCTGCCGATGTACGCACGAGCTTTTGTTTACTTTTACTGCGGTTGAATTTATTCGGACCCTTCTTACCCATAAAAGAAAAAAAGTTGTGATTCAGCGTTCATAAAATATCTCTTCACTAGATCATATTTAAGCCTGATTTTAGGACCAGAACATCATGGTACTGTCTTTGCTGATATTGTTTTGATTGGACTGATCAATAACTATGTTTACTATCTATCTTCAGATTCAGTCACCGTTGTTTTAGGGCAAAACCAGTTATAATACTGTCTTTGCTGATATTGTTTTTATTGGACTGATCTATAACTATGTTTACTATCTATCTTCAGATAGGCTTCACCTAATCTAATAAAAATTGGTCTGGGTTGAATTAGATTGTAAATTTTGATTTCTTTTAAAATTTGTAATGTCAAAACATACTTTTTTTGTTAGATTTTTTATGATAAGTTTTTGAAAAATAGACTGTATTATTTAAAATCAAATAATTCAATATTTTAAAAATACATATTTTGAATGAACAAAATTGAACAATAAATATATTTATAGATTGGATTTCACAACTCAATTTTCCTGCTCAATTTATAGATTGGATTTCACTATTTGGATATAATTGTTTAAAAATAGTAATTAAAGAAATAACCATGTTCTGGAATGAAATGTTTACCTAATTCACTGTAGTTCATAAAGCATGCTTCATCGTAGATGTCTAAATTTGAGGTTGTAAGAATGCATGTCTCCTTGTACCAGATGTTGATGAAGATATTTTATTTTCAGACATAGTTGGTCAATACCAATTGGTATAGTTGATGATGCAGGTTGTGGTTCCTCAAGTTTTTGTGAAATAATATTATTGTTGTAATATATATAGTAAGCAATTACGTAGGTATTTGTTTAGTGGTCCAAGTCCAAGAATACCTATTGTGCTGAAGCATCTTGTGCTGCGTCAATCTCAGTTTGCATAGTCTTCTCCGTTACCTTTTGTGGCAAAGTTTATGCACATGGTTTCATAGAAGAATGACACGGTGGAAATGTGGTAAATATTCAATCGTTAAATTTATCTATTTTTAAATTCATGGTTGATTTTTTTTTTTAATTTTCTTTTTTGTTTAGTTGGTGATGAAAGGAATAGAAGTACTAGAGAGAGAGTGTGAGTGATTGGTTGGTGATGATTGTGATCTTGATTTAGTGTTGTGTGTTGAATGGAGTGGGGTAGTGCAGAAGATGGAGGAAGAAAGAGAAGGAAACATGTGAGGAAGAAGAAGGATTTTAAAGTGAATGTACATTTAATAATAGAAATTTAGTTTTGCCATTGCAGGATATTAACTATACTGTGACGTGATCTATTAAGTTTTAACACCAATCTTCTTTTAGTAATTATATCAATCCACTAAATTTTTATAGACGATTACTTAAATTATTTTTCTTGAAATATTTAGTTGTTCTTACATATGGGTAAGATAATCTTTATACTATTAAGATGAATTTTTCTATATACATTTAAACAGGGGGTGAATGTGTTTGTAAAAGCATTCTAATATGTTAGTTTTTACAAAAATAATAATAAATGTAGAATAAATTAATAATGAATTCTTTAAAAATGTAATTTTTCTATACTATTTTGATAGGTGTCAGAACCAGAAAAATCAAAAGTCAGGAACCAGTAAAATCCAAGCACGTGTCGTTAGTGGAATTCACATGTAAAGAGGGGAACTTGACAATCAGATGACGAACGCCAGGTGTCAAGCAAAGGAGAACCGGAAATCAGTTAGTGGAAAACAGGTGTCGACTGAAGAGGGGACGTTCGTTCTCGACTGTGGAGCAAAACTTTGATTTTCAGAAAAACACTCCACTCTCCTCTGTATGCACTCTCTTTCCAAAATCTGATATTCCATCTTCCTCCTTCTTCTCTCTAGAAACCCTATCTTCTCTCTAAGAAAACTTACCCTTCCTCTTCTCCGATCATCATTTAGGCACCGTAGGAGCATTTCCGGCGTCCCAAGCTTCTACTTAAACCGAACAGTTCTAGATTCTGAAACTGGTAAGTTTCTCGTCTTTAGTTGTTCGTCCGTATGAACATGCAAGCCTAGCTCTGGTTGCATGAAGTCACCTTATCTGAACCAATCTTGGTTTTCTGTAAATTGTTTTAGTTTGAAGAGTTTGGTTGAGCGTTGAGGATAGAAGAAATCTTATTTCTGCGAACTGAGTTTTAGTCTGAAGGACGTACGTTCACACTAGAGGTAAGGGAAGCTTATTTAATTTAATTGACATTTGTATGTTGTCTTACTGTATGAACGTCCGTTGTTTGAAGGAATTAATATGATGCATGCTGCTTGATATGTATGATGATGGTTGATATGTATGAATGTGAATATGAGTAATCATTTTGGAGTATGAATTATTAATGTGGAATTCTATAAAGTATGTAAATTGATATTTGATATGAATTTATAAGGTATGAACTGATATGTTGAAAACTTGAGTTGAAAATAGATGAAATTCTGAATATGAAATTCTCATTATGATAATATACGTTCGTTACTGAACGGTCATTGACCGTTCGGTTTTCCCTTGTAACATAGTTGAAATGTCGATTCTTTCATTTGGATAGAACCCTAGTTGAGGACGAGCGTCCTCGTGTTATAATACTATGCTTGAGCGTTCGGCCAAGCACTGTTGTATCTGGTATTCTTTGATAAACTCCATTCTTTTATATATATATATGTAATAGTATATTCTTCCGTTCGTAAACACTACTTCGAAAGTCCCTTAGTATAATTATCAAGTCTACTGTTATAAGTTAAATGGTGCTCGGTCTTATACCAAGCGCTCGTACTGAGAAGTGCTCGGTCTTACACCTAGCGCTCGCTCTAAGTGGTGCTCGGTCTTATACTGAGCGCTCGCACTCACTCCTTGTAAAATTAGTCTTTATGAAAGAGCCTACATCCAACTTGAGTAGAATTTTCCCCTTACCATGTTCGGTCATTGACTGGCAGTGGATTTCAGTATGAGAACTATTCTAAATATGGTTCGTTAACGTCTTGATGTGTCTACCTTGATGTATTTGGCCTAGAGCCTCCACACTCGGTTTATTCCTTGAAGTATTGGTTCGAACTCACGAGAGTCAGTTCATTCAACTGATTCACATGATAAATAACGTTCGTCACTTGGAACCTGATATTACCCAAATCTGATCGTAACTCTGTCGTTCGTACTCTGATCTAGAACGAGCATCTTTTGGTCCCGTCCACAGTATCCGTCCTCGTTCTTATTGGGGACAGAACGTTCCTTATTTATGGTCTTCAAAGTGATGATAAAAATGAATGTAAAATGATGAATGATAAATGATGAAGAGTATATGAAATGGAAAGAAAGTTGTGACTTTTGAACGAGCGTTCCGGGGAGGAACGACTCATGTATTGAATATATGAAATTTGTAAAGTATGACTGTGGGCATGCTAATGCTGGCCGTTCATCCTGATGTTCCGTGAGTACTCGTCCTCACGTAGAGGAGGGTAGGTCATGTGTGGGAACGGCAGGAGATCCTAGTCCTTAGGGGTACTTTGGATAAGGCTAATCTCGGGTGGCAGCTGTTGAGTGTATCCCAGTTACTACATCACACGGGTGCAAGAACGCCTGTAGCTACACAGATTCATACAGTCCGGACGGTCCGTCTAGTGATAGTTTTCGTATCATTATATATATGTTGAACTATACTTGTGTTGTTGGAATGTTTAAATTATATGTTGATGTGTGAATTAAATTACATAAGCTTACCCTGCGTATTCCTTGTGTTGTCTTGTTTTGTACGTTCTTCCTGTCGTTGCAATGATCATCCGTGTGGATGTGAGCAGAAGGAGACGAGCGGCTGGAAGATGCGCTGGAAGAAGAGAATTTGGTAGAAGTTGAGGTGAAGACTGAACAGTGAGACGTTCGGCTAGTAGTGTAGGTGTTTGATAGAGTGGTCGTTCGACCACCTTATGCTTTTATTTTGGTTATGTTCGGTCGTTCGGTATTTTCTTGTGTAAACCGTTCGGTCAGTTTCCGCTTATGCTCGGCTTTAATTTGTAACTCTACTGTAAGGACGTGCGTCCTTGCGCGTTCATTCTTTTAGTTGAAAAACTGTACTGAATTATTATGAAACGTGATTATTCTAATTATATAGCTTCTGGCTGTATTTTTGGGATGTTACAATAGGTTTCTCTTATATTAATTGTTAAAAAGAAGATATATATTTTTTGCGATATTGGTTTTTGAAGAATGAATGGGAAGGATAGAAAAGTTTTGATTGATTATGGAGAATGAATCATCTTCTTTTTATCTCCTTTCAATACTTGTGCTTTATTCTTTTCATTAATTGTATGATTTGTTTGTATTCTCATTTAGATTAAAGAGGTAAGTTGATTTAGTGATATCAAAATCCTTTTTAAGGTTTTTAAGACTTTATATGCTGATGGCAAAAGAAATATGTAATTGTAAATATTTGTAACTAAAATCTATTACGGATATTAAATGGATATTTTTAATAGATACTCGTGGAACAAATAAGTATATGTATTATGATATCTGACTTGCAGATGATCACTATCC